GTGAAAGGTAGAAGGTAGCAGAGTATCAACTGACCACCTAGAGGTCACGGGCTCCTTAGAGGTCGTTAAGGCCCAGGGAGTGGATTCCAAGAATCTCAGTGTTGCCCCGGGTTTGGGATTCCGTCTCAGGAGGGTACTAATGTCTGCACCCAAAGGATCATGGGAAGAAGGTGGACAGAGTTGACTCCTCTGCTGGGGTCAGAGATGTGGCCTTGTTTTTCAGCCCAAAGACGTGTGACATCCACTCATCACCTCGGACGGCAGCGAGAAGGCACCTTTCCCAGCCCACTGACCGCCCATGACATTGAAGGAACAAGGAGAGGGTCCCAGAGGGGGTCAGTAATAAACACCCCGGCCCTGGGGCCACAAGACTGGAACCCCAACAGGGTTCCTTCCATTTCCAACCGTATTTAAAAATGCCCTTTATTTTATGTTAAATATATTTGTATTGGTTTCAGAGAGGACGGGAGACGGAGAGAGAGAAACATCAATGATGAGAGAGAATCACCAATCAGCTGCCTCCTGCAACGCCCCCCAGTGGGGATGGAGCCCTCAACCCCGGGCATGTGCCCTGACCGGGAATCAAACCCGCAACCTCCTGGTTCATAGGTTGATGCTCAACCGCTGAGCCACGCCGGCCAGGCAGTGCCCTTTAAGTCGCTCTGAAAGGGCCTCTGGAAGGAGAAGCTCCCGGTAGGAGAAGCCCTCGATACTGCCTCTCATGACGCCTCTCGGTCACGCAAGGGACACGCTGCAGACAACTGCTTCTACATCGTCTCTCGTGTAAGTGAAACACGGTGTGAAATACTGGTTCTCCAACCACAAGTGCCATTCCAGCACTCCAAGATAGATTTATATATGTGACATGTAATATATATGATAATTGTATATCCTGCAGCTGTAAAACAGCCCCCTTCCGGGAAATGGCCCCATTCATGCATTCACTGGGTGATTCCTGGGATCGAACCCGCAACCCTGGCGCACTGAGACGATGCTCCAAACGAGCTACTGGCCTGGGCAATGGTAGATGTGTTTTTTAAAAACAGTGAGATTTAACCCCAAATAAGTAAACCACCCATGTCTGACCACCAAAAAACTAAATAAAAACACAGTGATAAAAATATCACTAAGATCCTATAATGATTATACTCAGCCTATGATATATAAACACTTGGTTATTCTGTTATTACTGGCAGGAAAATGGAAATGCCCAACATTATTTGGTAAAAGCCATAATCTCTTTTGGTGATAAGGCTGATGGTATTTATGTGAACTATTATTTTTTTATTGGAAAGGATAAAAAGTGCCTAATTTTCTTGTCTTCCCCCTTTAAAAAGGTGACGCTGAAGCACATGTATTATAAGCACAGACAGGATGTTAAGAACTGTCAAGCTAGTTTTCTCCTGTAGTAAATGGTCATGTTTACCCCGTGATGTGTTGCAGATTGGGATGGAAAGGAAGATTAAGTTTCCTTAGTTTCCTAATTTACATGCTGCTAAGTCCAGCAACAGAGCGACTCAGATACTAAAGGCTCAGAGAAGGCGAGGAATGGCGATTACTATTCTCAAGTACCCCAATGTCTTTTTTTTAAATTATTAATACATTTTTATGGATTCCAGAGAGGAAGGGAGAGGGAGAGAGACAGAAACATCAATGGTGAGAGAGAATCATGGATCGGCTGCCTCCTGCACGCCCCACACTGGGGACGGAGCCCAATACCTGGGCATGTGCCCTGACTGGGAATTAAACCGTGACCTCCTGGTTCATAGGTCAACGCTCAACCACTGAGCCACGCTGGCCGGGCCACAGCCAGTTCCTGTGGATCCTGACGCTTCAGTGTTAGAGATCTTTAGAAAAACAAACAAACCTGCCAATACAAAATTGGGCACTAAAGTGAGGGAAAGACAAACTTCAATAAACGATGCAGAATGACCGGGTAGTCATCTGGGAAGAACTCGGTTGCATCCATAACTTATACCTTAGGCCAGAATATATTCGAAAGGAATAAAAATTTAGGTTAAACACACACACACACTAAGCCATAAAAGTTCTAGAAGAAAATACAGGGACATTACTGCTGTGGAATGAAGATTCCACTTGGAATCTTAGCGTGACTCCAAGTCCAGAAACCCCTATAAAACCACATGGCAAAGCCACCATAAGCAAAGTCCCAATAAATGACTCCTAGGAATTCCAGGACAGGCTAAAAATGGGCCAGAGGTAGAAACAAGAGGAAATGCAGGCGGCTCAAACGTCAAAAGCAGTCGACCTTACTTATAATAAAACTACAAGCACACACCTGTAATTTTGCATCTGTCAAAACGGCAAAACGGAGATTCTGATGACGCCTATGTTGTGAGGTTGTGGGTAAGCGGGCATGGTCTGAATGACAGGTGGGAATGGGAATGGGTGACTGACCCTTAGGAAGGGCAACGTTCTAAAACCTTCCACACATACAAACGCATACGGTCTTTCGCCCCAGAATTCTACAACTGCATCATTACATGCGTGTGAAATGACACTGACGTGAGGTCTGGTAACGATCCACATGATTACTAATAGGGGGTTGGTTAAGTGATTGCACGTTCCTATAATGGAATACCAAGCAGTCACTAAAAAACAAACAAAACAAAAAGACGAAGAGAAAGCTATCTAGTGATATCAGGGAGCTGCCAAGAAAAATTGAGAAAAGCAAACAGCACGTCTGGGCCGCCACTCGGTGTAAAACGTGTCTGTGCCTCCCGCCGTGTGGCTGGGACCCTGAGCAAGGCCAGAGGCCTCCGTGGGGGCGGGGAGGGGGGACACAGACGCCACATTCCACTGTAGAGCGTTTCTGTTTTGGTTTTTGAACCATGTGAATGTATTACCTGTTCAAAAAATTAAATAAAATATGTCTATTTAAAAAACCTGTGACGAGGTACAATTCAAAAGATGCTGCGAGTCCCCAGTTCTTAGTGGAATGGCACTGAACCCACGTGTAAGGTCACGGATGCCGCACGTCCTGGGAGGAGGCTCCAGGCAGACTTCCTGGTTTCAAGTCCTCGTCCCTCCGCCTGGACTGCAGGCGAGTGTCTTAGCCTCCCTTCCCCTTGGTCCTTCCTTAGGACCCAGGTGACGGCCTGGGCAAATCCCTAAGGCAGGGCCCCGTCCAATCCAAAAGAACCATCCAACTGCTCAGGGTTTTCTCCCTTCTCCACAAATTATAATCAAACCCTCCTCTCAAAAGAGGAAGTGTTTAAAAGGGGGAAAACGCCCTGGCTGGTGTGGCTCAGTGGACAGAGTGCCAGCCTGCGACTGAAGGGTCCCGGGTTTGATTCCGGTCAAGTGCAGGTACCTCGGTTGCAGGCTCCTCCCCAGCCCAGGCCCTGGTCGGGGCTTGTGCAGGAGACAACTAATCGATGTGTTTCTCTCACATCGATGTTTCTTTCTTCCCTCTCTTCCACTCTTCCTAAAAATCAATGGAAAAATATCCTCGGGTGAGGATTTACACTAAATAAATCCTATATAATAAAAGGCTAATATGCAAATTGACCGAACAGCAGAACGACCGAATGGCAGAAGCCAGGCTGATGGCTGGCGAGCACAGTGGTAGTGCTAAGGATGTCGACTGCCAGCTTAGGCCTGCTCCCTGCAGGCAACGGGCCTTAGCTGTCAACGGGCCTTAGCTGTCCAGGGCTCCTGGACTGTGAAAGGGCGCAGGCTGGGCTGAGGGACACCTCCCCACAAGTGCACGAATGTCGTGCACCGGGCCTCTAGTAAATAAATAAATCTATATATATAAAAGGCTAAGTGACCGACCGTATGTATATATGTCCAACCAACTGACTGGCTGGAACATGTGACGCGCACTGGCCATTTAAAAATAAACGCTGACTGGCGCATGTGCGATACATATGAAGCGCTTGCTGGCACCCATCGCACGTGTTTCGATCTGTCATTGTCAATCGATCTGTCATTGTCGATCGTGAATTTGGTTGACACTTCTATTATAGAGAAAGGGCGAACAGCGATATTAAAATATTTCTTCTAATTAATTTCCTTTCAATGTGCACGAATCTGTGCACTGGGCCACTAGTAAATAAATAAAAGGGGAAACAAGAAGGAAAGATGGCAGAAACATTTGCTTTAATTTGCATGCCTACTACACAGTGGGTACAACAGCACAGGATTTGCAATTCTGTTCCTGCAGATATTCCCTAGAATAGAGCGCACTCGCATCTGCGTGTGTGCTGTGCTGTTTTACAAACGCTTTCCATGACCCCGGCACCCAGGCTATGGGGTGAAAAGCTATGGTTTCTGTGGGTACTTGTGCTCACAAACCGCCAAGAGGTTTACTGCGAGCCAATCCCGGTGTCCAGCGGGAGGCAGCGCTGAGGGCCAGGAGCTGTTCTTGCTCACGTGCACGGGCACCGAGGGCAGCTGGAAAACACGGCACAGTTTCAACACACGCAGAGACCACGGAGGGCCAGGCATTCTCATGTTAACACGTCAAGAGGTGCTAGTCATCAGGTGTCAAACCTGAAAACCACTCCTAGTCTGTCTGATCCTCCTCGGAGGCTGGGAATCGCCACAGGAGCAACAGGCAAACGTGACCCATTTCAATAGAGAGCGTTTCTAACTCACATCAATGCCACTAAGAGAACACAGGCTCGTGCCACTGGAGGAGGGGTCGCTGCCTCGTCTGCATCTTCTGGCTTCATCAGCTGGACCATCGTGTCTGTTGTTATATTACCCAGTGCGAGGTTTCCAACCAGGTGACGAGATAAAGACACAACGCCAAGAGGTGCTACCAGCCAAGTGTTTACAAAGCAGTCAGTGTCCTATATCACTTCCCAGCAAAGGCACGTGACCTGGAAAAGCAGCTTATATCACATGACCACCAACCACCAGGCTCACAACACAGAGATTCTTAGAGCACATAAACCACTTAAGAAACACAGACACAAAGATGCAGGCTGCCCCCACATCTGATTTACGGTAAAATAAGTGAAGCAAATGAATTTCAGCTTAAATAGACTTCATTTGTTTATTTTTCTCGGCAGTGAAAAAACATCGGTTTAAACTTTGAAAAGAGCTTTTACCCCAACCAGACCTGAATCGCCTAGAACTCACTCTAATGTACAATTGTTGTTGCCTAAGTTTGAAGCAAATCAAAGTACAGAGAAAAAGCAATATATGGAAATGACCAAGGATTCTGCAGGAAATCGAGTTTAAATAATAGGCTTTGTCTTCAGCTGAGGGAACAAGGAAGTCACACCACCAAAACGATTTTTAAGCTTACAGGAAAAATAAACCAAGTGCAAACTTTCACATTTTCTTAAGCTCCGAATGAGCACAAAGAGTAATTCTCCGCGATACAATTTACCTGCAATATTATCACTTTTCAACCTGTTTACCCCAAGGTCCCCTCGCCCCCACACGACACTTGCACCCCTAAAATGAAGAAAAAGTGGAGGCAGCTCCCATCCAGCCAGCCTGTTCATTCGACTGAACAAAAACATCACCATCACCAACAAAGCCCAGCTCCACAGCGGTTAGAAATCAGGTCAGGAGAGAATTAGCCAGTGAGCCCTGCCTCCCTCCAACCACACCCCTCCCTGCAAGGGTGACTAAGTCTTTTTAAAAGACGGGGAGCCAACTCATTGACTGTAAAACGTGCCACTAGCCCAGTGGCCACGGCTCCGACTCGGGCCCAGCAGCCATGGGCGTTTAGGGCCTTATGACTTCACACAAGACTGAAGAGGCCAAGGAAACCTACTTGTGCCCTCAGTCCCTCCACACAGGCGCCACCTTCCCACATTCTATCTCCTAACACCTTTTAAAAGGATCAGCATTTCCAATGTTAAGGGCATTTGGATCCCGGGTTTAGAAGTGACTGCTTAGGGCCAATGAGTCACCTGTTGGCACAGATCCCCCGAAGGGCGGCTTACATGCCATGAACGAGAGAGGAGAGGGGAGAGGCAGCCCAGAGGCTTGAGCTGACTGACCCACCTGCTTAAACCTCCCGCTGAGGAAACCAGACTGAGGATTGCATAGATTGTGCTCCAAAGTAAAACCCCTAAAAATGCTTCCCTGTATGGAAAATAGTAAGTTTTGTGCACATCCTGTTTTAAATTGGCATTATAAATCCATGAACTCCCACTCAAATTTTATCAAGATGGGAACTGCTAAATATTTATGCAATTTTTGTGTTTTGTTTTGTTTTGAGTAAATGAAAATTTCTAAAATTGGAGAAGAAACAAAGAAACATAAAATCAAAGAAACTGGTGTCCAGGTTCTGAGTACAGACGCCCGGGCCCGCCCTTACTCAGGACCTGGCCTGGCGGTGCGGGCGGCGGTACTTACCTTCACCGAAGCAGGGCCTTCAGACCAAGCAAACCTACAACAGCAACTACAAACTTAGACACAAACCAATGAAGTGGGAGTTGAAGTCCTGGGGACTCTTCAGGGACTTCTGAAACTAGACACGTACAAGGCCACCCATCACACGAGCACTCCCGCAGGCTAGAAGGTGACACAGAGCGAGGCCGGCCAGGCACTGCGGTCCCCGGCCAGCCCCACCCGAGACCAGCCCTAACGCTCCCGGCCTCGCCTTCCCATCACAGACAGTTCACAGTGCTACCAGGAAGGAAACAGTCGTTCAGGTCTGACAACTGGAAATGAAGCATAACAGAGTAAGAACAGAACCGATTCCAACCGAACAGCATAGCAGAACAGTCAACAGATGGCAACGAAATTAAACACGGAATTAGCATAACTTACATGTTTTAAAAGTATATACTTCCTTTATAAATACCTCTAATTGACAGTCTATTCAGAATCATAAATATTCAAGTGAACATTTGCATTTCTCCTTAAGAGCTCAGTTCTTGAAGTCCCGGAAGGTTAGTCTCCTTCTGCTGAATGTCCAAGAGGAAAAGTCCTCACAGTCACTTTATGTCTAACCAGACATAGAAAAGCCTTTATTACCTACTGTGTTGCAATAAGACTTTAAAATTCTGTAATTCTCTGATGCTTGTAGAAAGCCTATAGGAGGGAAAAGAAAGCCTTTTAGCACCGCTAATATGACGTGTACATAGTTCAAATGGTTGACATGGTATATGGGCTATTATTAAAGCAAAATCCAAAATAAAAGGATGTATTCAACACTGAACATTGAAGCTTCTATTTTAAAATAAGTACATTGTGATTCCTTATTAAATATTAATAAAACACAGAGCTATGGTCCTTCGGTCTTGGCTTAGAAGGGGCCAAGGAAGACAGTTACTTCTTATCAATAGATTCATGATGGGAACAGTGATATGATTAACTCATTACAATAAAGAACCTTAAGACATTTATATTTAGTCTATAAGTTCATTTTGTACATTTCTCTCCAAATACCCGCTCTTTTCTTTCATTTTTTTTTTTTTTTTTTTTTTTGCTTGTCTCTAAGACCTGAAACTGAGAGCCACCAGTCAGTCAATCATGGTTCACTGGGACTGCTGTAGCACTGGAATCCGCTCTTTTCTTACTGCTCCCCAAACACACCAGTTTGCTTTATACTGTCAGCTCCACAGTCTTTCAGGGTAAAGATTCTGTGTATATTGTCTAGCACTGAAGCCATGTCCATGGTGCCTAATCAACAATGAATGAAGGCAGTGAGACTCTGGAATGGGAATCACAAAATAAACCTATAAGCTCAGTTATCCTTCTGTACAATTCAAGGTGGATGCAATAAAATCGAATGTTTTCTTTCTTTAGATTTGCCAGAGCAGGGCCAGGCTCCAGGCCGCTAGCAGCCCTGGCTCTGTCTGGCGCCCTCTGGAGGACAACAGAGGTAACAGCAGGCAATCAGGTGGAACCACAGTGGGACAGGGCCAGGCTCCAGGCCGCTAGCAGCCCTGGCTCTGAGTCTGGCGCCCTCTAGAGGACAACAGAGGTAATAGCAGGCAATCAGGTGGAACCACAGTGGGTCGGTGGCCGTTTAATGTTCTTTCTCAGGTTACTTTATTTGGATTGAAAATGCTTAAATTATTTAAAATATTTTTCATTTAACTTTGAATAATTTAAATGTAACTCAGTTTCTCCTGTTTTATCTTACTACAGGCCCCATAAGTGGGTGGACTGAATTTTTCATGAAATGCCAATTACCGATGGACATTCTATGTCTACCTTGTTTGAAACCTCTGCTTACACATCATCTTTAAACACAAGGAGGCAACATGGTGAAAACTTTGCCACTAAGATGGGGAAGGGGCAAATAACTTATTTTTAATTTAACTGCCTCTTTTTAACTTAAAAATGCATGTTAAGAAAACATAAGAAATAATCCCCGTATCACTTGGTTCCCTATTTTTTTTTTAAATTCTTGACTTTTTTGCATTTTTTTCCCAGGGCAGCTTAGTATTATTTTCTCTGACTCAGTTCTCCCTGCTCTGTATTCCTCAGGAGGCTGGTGTTGCACGTAATTCTGTAGGCAAATTCAAATTAATTTGGAAACCATCTGTGATGCCAACAAAAAGCAAAATATCTATCTGTATGCAGAAGTAGCGGGCTAAGAACGAGCAAGAGAGAAATGCCTCCTCGGTTTAAGAAATAGGACCAGCCCTGGCCGGTGTGGCTCGGTTGGTTGGAGTGTCGTCCCATATACTGAGGTGGGGGTTCAATCCCTGGTTGGGGCATGTACAGAAGACAACCAATTGATGTTTCTCTCTCTCTCCCCCCCTTCCCTTCTCTCTAAAAATCAATAAGCATATCCTCAGGTGAGGATTAAAAACAAAAGAAAGAAGAGCAATGAAAGGTTTCATCTCTCTGTCTTTCCTCACCTCTCAACCAAGCTCTCGGTCCCCATTCTTGTTCTTGAACAAGTGACGCCCAGCTAACGAGGGTGCTTCTAGGGGAGAGCGTCCTCCCCCCCAACTTGAGAAGGCAAACTGGGGACCCCTGGCAAACACAGATGCTGAGAGCTGGGGAGAGCTGGCTGGTACAGGTATGATTGTAAAAGTTTTCTCTCTGTCCGTGCAACAAAGAAAAACCAACCAGCTGAGCAGAGATGAGAGCTGTGGCTGGCGGCAGCAGAGCCCCAGTCGGTCCTTACCTCCCAAAGGCATTGAGAAGAGCAACTATTTCCTGCCGAGTGAGCTGGAAGCCTTTCGATGGGCTGTTCTCCGGAAGCTTCTGGATTTCTTTCTCAGAGAACAGTATCTTCAGGGCAGTTCCTAAACCCTGAGTCTAAAGAAAAGAGAGAAACAGACGATCAATTCATATCCTAACCACTGTGAGGTTTAAAGGAAAACTCAGTTGCTGGTGTGAGTCAGGAAATGCACATGAACTTCATTCACTTCCCCATCTTATCAAACTTAAGCAAAGCAGTTTCTACTTCCTGGCAGATGTGCACATGTCAGTTTATGTGCTGAACAACTTCACACATACCATTCGATTCCAAATTACTAAAATGCCTTTTTTTAACCTAAAAGTATCACAGTAGGATTACGATGTTCAGTAAGTAATCTTGAAAGCCTTCTTTACAGGCCCTAGCAACTCTAAACTTAAAAATTATTAGCGAGACCTAGACTTAGTAATTTCTTAATTATAAACACTAGAGAAAAAGAAGAAAGATTGTGATTTCTGGGTAGCCACCATTAGAATAATTCTGTCTACTGATTTTCTGACTTGTCATCTTTGTAAAAAAAAAAAAAAAACCACAAAATATCAATCCTTTTTAGGCAGAATGTGGAGGGAAATGAGCAGAACTTTCCTATTTTGTGACGAGGTGACCTTCTTTTTATCACTGAAACAGATTCAGTGACCAAAACTTCATGATTAAGTCTTTTTGTATAATTGTATTTACCTTTGATATGGGTATATGAAATACTAATGTTCTCAATTTATAACCCCCAACTTCAGAAATGAATCTGAGATTCTACCAATAGAAACAGACGCACTAAAACCAAACCATTAACAGAGAGTGATAGGAAAGACATCCTTACACATACACATAAAAGCCACAGCGTTTAATACTAACTTTTTCATCTCTAACACAGAAAAACCACACTTCAAGTCTCTAATCCAATGAAGGAGGGCATTTTAATAAAAAGTTTCAACTCCTCGTGGGAAAGTGTAAGGTTAGCAATAGTTTCAAACAGAAGGCAACACACAAACCTGCAGCTTCCCCCACAGCCTGCACTTGTCACACCCAACGCAGTCCATTATGCGAGAGATGTTCTTGAAATGCAGCCGGAATTCCTCCTAACGGGCAGAAAACATTTGTGTTCTAATCAGACATTTAACAGGAAACTGTGTTAGTCTGAATTATAAGAAATAAAAGTTTTGAAGTTTATTAGTAAAGTAGAGGCCCGATGCACAAAATTCGTGCATGGGTAGGGTCCCGAGGCCTGGCCTGCGATCAGGGCCAATCTGTGGGGCAACCAGTGGGGTGATGGGGCAGAGGGAAGGGCAAACTGTATAGCAGAAAAAAAACCAAATTTCCAAAACTAAAATAGAGTTGTGGCTAAATCATTTCATTTCAGAAACACCAAGAAACTCTTACAATGGAGAGCCACTCAATGCTAATTTATTAGTTCATGTATAGCCACATCTGAAATAGCTTGGGGCCAAAGGTGTTTCAAAATTTTCAGACTTTAGAAACACAGTGCATCCACTATTTATTACGAAACACTCCACCAGAGTGTGGCGCAACACCCTGTAATCAAACCCATTCATGTGTCTGTAAGAACAGTTACACAAACAGGCAAGAATATTTACACAGAGCAGAATTGAAAAAAAAAAAACTATAAATAGTCTTACATCAGGTCAGGTTTTGCTAACTAATTTGCACCAAACACAAGAAGCATGTTTCAGTTTTGGAGCTTTCTGAACTTGGGCACTGCACATGCTACTATTTGCCAGCCAGTCAAACACCTTTATACTGTGAGGGGCACCGTGTGTTCCTTAATGTACATCCTGTAAGCAAAGGAAGCGAAGACCTCCCTCTGCACGTGAGGTTTCATAATGTCCCTAAAATACAGTCTCCTGCTGGCCTCACAGGTTAAAAGGCACTCTCTGCCTCCTATGCTGCTCTCTAAGGGCAAAACACAAGTTTCATAAACTGTGACAGTCCATAAAATAAACTTTAGAAACAGAAACTATTTCTTGCCTTCAACGTGGATTACAGCTCATGCTTTTTTCAAAGATGCATCAAAACAACACACACACTGTGATTGTAAAGTGAGAGAACCCTCAGAACACTGCCCTTCAAAGAAATTACAAGGTGCTGCCCTCGGTCACAGTCATGGTGATGGCTGGGACCCGCCCAGCAGGGTCTGCGAGGAAGGACTGGGGAGGAAGTGTGGGCGGGGGGACTGCATCCCTCACAGCAAATCGCTCACCAGCGAGGAGAGCGAACAGGCGAGTGGGGGGACCAGGACTAAAGCTCAACCAGCGAACCGCTCCCGCCCGGTCCCTAAGTCAGCAACCTTTACCTTTAGCGACTTGGCCCCCTTCTTGTCACCGGAGAACATGGATTTCTCGTCAAAGTGCATGGGAAAGGACCTGAGGAAATACAGGACTGTAAGTGGCAGGCAAAATATTCCAGTGCTGGGTCCTAGAGCCCTGGGAGAACTTTGACGGGTACTTAAAATCAATCATAATTTACTCACATGTAAGGCTTAGGAAAGTTCACATAGACACTATTCAATAAGACTAAAGCAAGCTTTATAATGTATAAAGACAGCTTTAAAATGTGTAAGTTTGTAATGTTTAAAGAAATTATATGATAAAAGTAATCTAAAAAATGAATTAAAACAATTTATGTGAACAATGTATATCACTCTCTTAATATTTTACAGCATCTTTTAAAAGTTAATCATAATTTATGTTCAGCACTTCTTAATCCAACACTGCTCCATGCTCATCTTCACTGGTAAACTCAAGTTTTAGATCCAGCATTTTTTTAAAAATATATTTTATTGATTTTTTACAGAGAGGAAGGGAGAGAGATAGAGAGTTAGAAACATCGATGAGAGAGAAAGGAAGTGTGGGCGGGGGGACTGCATCCCTCACAGCAAATCGCTCACCAGCGAGGAGAGCGAACAGGCGAGTGGGGGGACCAGGACTAAAGCTCAACCAGCGAACCGCTCCCGCCCGGTCCCTAAGTCAGCAACCTTTACCTTTAGCGACTTGGCCCCCTTCTTGTCACCGGAGAACATGGATTTCTCGTCAAAGTGCATGGGAAAGGACCTGAGGAAATACAGGACTGTAAGTGGCAGGCGAAATATTCCAGTGCTGGGTCCTAGAGCCCTGGGAGAACTTTGACGGGTACTTAAAATCAATCATAATTTACTCACATGTAAGGCTTAGGAAAGTTCACATAGACACTATTCAATAAGACTAAAGCAAGCTTTATAATGTACAAAGATAGCTTTAGAATGTATAAGTTTGTAATGTTTTAAAGAAATTATATGATAAAAATAATCTAAAAAATGAACTAAAACAATTTATGTGAACAATGTATATCACTCTCTTAATATTTTACAGCATCTTTTAAAAGTTAATCATAATTTATGTTCAGCACTTCTTAATCCAACACTGCTCCATGCTCATCTTCACTGGTAAACTCAAGTTTTAGATCCAGCATTTTTTTTTAAAGGTTACATTCTTAGAAGGTAAGGCTAATCATGTTCCCTTAAGTATCGATTGATATCTAACATACACAGGTATCTAACATGAGATCACCTGAACTTCAATAGCGACTGGAATACAAAATGGGTAGAAAGAACATTAAAGTAGCATTAAATGTTGCTACATAAAATTTAAAGTTATATTTAAGAAGATAGCCTATTCTCAAGTATAAAAGTGCAATGACGCTTTATTAGACGATTTTCAGATAACATTTTTAGAAAACACGTCAAAGACTGCTGTTGTCCTGGCCATCCTCGTCTATCTTCCGACTCTCCCCTTTCTTAAAATATATTTTTATTGATCTCAGAGCGGAAGGGAGAGAGAACAAGAGATAGAAACATCAACGATGAGAGAGAATCATTGATCGGCTGCCTCCTGCACACCCCCTTGGAATCGAACCTGGGACCCTTCAGTCCGCAGGCCAAGGCTCTATCCACTGAGCCACACCAGCCAGGGCTTTGACTCTCCCTTTTGCTAAAGAACCTCCCGAGGCCCGTGTGTGTGTGTGTGTGTGTGTGTGTGTGTGTGTGTGTGTCCTTCAGGTGCCGCCTCGTGAGACACGGGGCGGGCCTCCCAGCCCTGACGCGAGTCTCACTTTGTGTCTTGGAAGATGTTCAGGAGGAGGGTCTTGGTGTCGGCGTCATCGTCCACGTTGCCAGTGTACAGATCGACCACCGAGCGCTCGAAGTACGGGGCCACCTTGGACAAGGCCCGCAGCTCAATGAGGTACAGGAAGTACAGGTTCTTCAGCCGCCTCGGGCCTTCTCCCTTGGTTTCCACGGGGTCAAAGCGGCGTTTGAATTCTTTGATGTTAGGTCCCCAGCTGGGCTTACCCCAGGTTTCTAAAGAGAAAGAGCAAAACACGATATACTTTTAATAGACAGATTTTTTAAAATATATTTTTATTGATTTCAAAGAGGAAGGGAGAGGGAGAGAGAGAAACATCAATGATGAGAGAGAACCATGCCCCCTACTGGGGATCGAGCCCACAACCCGGGCATGTGCCCTTGACTAGAATCAAACCCGGGACCCTTTAGTCCGCAGACTGACGCTCTATCCACTGAGCAAACCAGCTAGGGCTAATAGAGTTTTTAAAAATAGAGAATGTGTATTTTTCCCCCAACAGTTTTCACACGGAAAGAAGGCAAATTTCTACATAAAAATCTGATCACCTTCCAAAAGATAATTCGCGCACAGATGTAAATTGATGCTGGCATGAAGTCCCGATATGAGCTTATAGAAGACTCTTTTCTCCAAACATAAACCTGTTCAGGAAAATAGTGAAAAAGACACCACATCCATTTAGGTAACAGAAGTACGGAGGACTCCGTACAGAGGCTTATTTTTAAAGTTAAGATTCAAGAACACGAAGAATAAATCAAAAAATGGTATGAAATAATGAGGCCAAGATTCTCTCAAGAGAAAATAAGGTTCCGACTTCCGAACAGAGTGCACTGGATGATGCCTGGAGGCAGAACAAGCAGAAAATGCTGGGCTGCGAAGGCCCAAACACCGAGGATGCCCGTGGCAGCCCCCACATTACCCAGAAGGCAACAGCGCAGCTGCTTCACGGTTAGACCAAGTCCTGCTTTGGCTTCAGGGCAGCCTGCTCCTCCCCCGCCCTGGAGAGGTTCTTTCACCCTCGTAGTGATGAGGAGGAAGAGACTAGTTTGGTTTCTCTCCTCCCTCCAGGCCTTTCGCCCTCCAGGGCAGGATCTATACTGCTTTATCCTTTAACTAGACAAGTTCAGATTATATTAACATGTGAACTCAGGTTAAAAACCTTCTGAGTCCCTCTGCCTTGCATTCTCTAGTTCTCCTTCACCATCTGTCCCACTAGAATGTGTCAGCTTTCCACTAATATTCTATATTTCTAGTATTTTCAATATTAGAAAATATAAGCATGCAAAAGCATCTAGTATATTGGAATCTATACTGCTTTTGTTTTCGTTTTTTTGTTAATGTTCACCTGAGGATATTTTTCCATTGATTTTTAGGGAGAGTGGAGGAAGAGAGAGAAAAATCGATGTGAGAGAAACACATCGATTGGGTGCAGATTCTCTCAAGAGAAAATAAGGTTCCGACTTCCGAACAGAGTGCACTGGATGATGCCTAGAGGCAGAACAAGCAGAAAATGCTGGGCTGTGGAGGCCCAAACACCGAGGATGCCCGTGGCAGCCCCCACGGCCCTTGACTGGGATCGAACCCAGGACCCTTTGGTCTGTAGGCCAACACTCTATCCATTGAGCCACACCGGCCAGGGCAGGATTTATACTGCTTTATCCTTTAACTAGACAAGTTCAGGTTATATTAACATGTGAATTCAAATTGACCTTCCCTCTGTTTCGTGGAGAAAAGCCCTCGTAGTGATGAGGAGGAAGAGACTAGTTTGGTTTCTCTCCTCCCTCCAGGCCTTTCGCCCTCCAGGGCAGGATCTATACTGCTTTATCCTTTAACTAGACAAGTTCAGATTATATTAACATGTGAATTCAAATGGACCTTCCCTCTGTTTCGTGGAGAAAAAGTACTTCCTTCCATAGGAAGGTCTGCGTGGACTCAGGCCTCAGGACGGTCACGGACCGAGTCGGGATGAGCATCCAAGCAGAGCGGCCGGACTGGGGACCAGTGACAGCGCCGGTGCATTTCCATGATGCTGGGTTGGGCCTCAACATTTTCAAGTAATTGCCTCCCAGAACATAATAACCTAAAACATGTGCTTTTCTTTTCAACACTCAAAATTAGTTGTCTAGGCAATGAATCCCAAAACTTACAAAAATAGATTCAATAAATCACTACATTTCTTACAAGAACCCAATACATTTAAAACGCAGACGTATTTACCTTCTAGCCACGTGTAGAATGATTCTCCTTTAAAAAAGAACACACACACACATACAGAACTGGGTTAACATATTTTAAATAATCATTTATATATTTGAATAAATTAAGTCTATAAAATATTTTATGGCAGATTAAGGACTATTTCTAGAAATGGCCACTACTTCATGTGAAGTAGAAAAATAGAGACATGGGTCTAGAAAATAAAGCCCAAAGGTAATGTAAGTATTGGGAGAATGTTCTTATAAGTGATATTTTGACTAGTAAAAGTTTTGAGAAAACATTCCAGTCAAAATGTTTTATGAATCTTATTCACTAGAAAACTTAAACATTCATAAGTATGGAGAGAGAGTTTAACAATTTTAAATTTGCTTTTGATAACTATAGCACTCTTTTAAAAGTCCAGAAAAAAGAGTGAGTTATAATTAATACAAAAATCTCATTATTATTCTATTTTTCCTGATTCAGTAAAGCTAGGTATATTTCCTCAATTATTTAAGACTATTACACTTTTATAGTTTTTAATTCCCTTCATTTTCAAGACATTCTTCAGAAAAGTGAATGACTAAAACACAGAGGGCTGTGACCTATCTGAGCACCAACGCGAAAGGACTATTTCTAGACCAACACTGTTGTTTACTGAAGAACGAAATGGCAGTGAATAAAATGGAAACAGTTAATGCTCTTCCGGAGTTACCAATCCTGATTTTACTTTACGTAAGAAAAGCAAACCTCACCACACACGAGCTGAGCAGGAATCCAGGGGATAAATTACCAGTAGATGGTGGGAAATTACCGGGCCTCCTGAGGTCTACTCACTTTGCAAATCTCCATCTTCCTACAGTCACTCATTCAACATCCTCGTACTAAGAATCATTCATTATCTCCCTTTTTTATTCAAAAAACCCCAAGTGCTAATAGGAAAGTCTAGCCCCAGGTCCTCAGTAATCTGGCTTCTATCATCTCCCTAATTCCCCCAGAAAGGGTGTCAGGGAGACCCTAACTTTCCTAGCGCTCACAGGGGAAATGATCTTTCTACCATTTTTTTTTAACATAGGATAACTTTCTATTATTAAAAATACTCAATTTTGTCACCAACCATTGGTAGCTATTTTCTGAAAAAAAAAAGGAAGATAAACACTTTCTTTTGAACTAGAGGAAAAACAGTGTTTTTGATCATTAAAAACATTTCCTCTCCTTGAAACAAAACCACGAGAGTTTAACTCACCATCATCTTCTCCTGAAAGAGAAAATAATAGACAAAGTTTTAGAAAATGTCTTACAAAGTTCCAATTCTAATCCTATTAATCTTAATATGGGATGGAACTTCACTGTGTTAAACTATCCATTATACATGAACCTTGGTCAGTGTGAGTTATCCTGCAAATGAAACTTCTTAATAAGAATACAGGACAAAAAGCACAAGATTTTCACGTTTCATACAATAGATAATATCAGAAAGCAACTAAAAATAATCAGAAAGATCACTCGTTTCGATAATAAGCCAACAACTAGACAAAGTCACTGCTTCAGTCACCACGTCCAGGACGGTCCCTGCACACTGTGGTTTCCATAAAGGAATGCTTCCGTCTTAAATGGCTGCTCCCGCCCGGCCGGTGTGGCTCAGCGGTCACAGGTTTGATTCCTGGTCGGGGCACGTGCCCAGGTTGCGGGCTTGGTTCCCGGTGGTGGGTGTACAGGAGGCGGCTATCGATGTTTCTCTCACATCGATGCTTCTCCCGCCCCCCCTTCCTCTCTGAAGTCAATACAAATATATATTTAATAAAAAAAAAAAGAGCAACTTCATTCTTCATGGAGCTGCCTTCTCCCTCGCCCAGCCTTGCCTCCCTTTCCTGTTCCTGCTTCTCTCCTCTCCTCCCTCTTTCTTTTCTGTAGAGCAGGCTCCTTCCCTCCTCCTCGCTCCAGCAGTTCCACGACTCTATTTGGCTCCTCAGGAAACTGCCGATAGATGATGACTCACATGTTCTAACGCATTTCCCATAAAGCCCCTGGCTTAGGGCCTGGCCCATAGCAGGTGCTCAATAAAAGCATGTGTGTGGGGGGGGGCATGTCGAAACCTTGAGCCTTAACTCCGAGCGTTTCATACACTTTTGATCATTCAAATTAAGCAAAACATAAAACAGTTGAAAACGTTCTCAAGTTAAGTTTAGTTATAAAGACATTTTATAAACAATCTCTAAAAGCATGAAAATGTACTTTAAAAACCCACCTCGGCTGGGTGCCAGCGGGTTTAAAGGACGATAAACAGATCGAGGCCTGAAAAACACACACACAAAACTCAGACGTGAGACGGTTTGCGTTTGTCATGTAGTTTTTCCCAAGAGAAACCCTGTCCGTCCTCCCCGCCCTCCGTCCACCCCCCTTCCGTCCCCCTCCCCGCAGTTACTTGAAGCAGTTCTCTTCATAGATGCTGTTCCACACCCTCCAGGCGGACGGCCCTTTGTAGCCCGTGTAGCGCTCGGGGTTCAGCAGCAGGTCCACGTACTGGGCAGCTGGGGACCTTTCGTCTGAACGAGAGACAACGCATGAGCCACCCCTGGTTCACTATCTCGGACTCAGCATCACAGAGCAAACAGGGCTCCAGGCGCGTCGAGGATGGCCACCCGCTTCAAGTACCTCCGGCCTCACCGGGAGGGGAGAGCGCACTTGTGACTGCACTTGACCGGGGACCTGTGGAACTTGGACTTGAGAGGAGCCCGCCTCCCTCTCCTCTGGGCAGCCAGCAGGGCCCTCGCCTCCTCAGAGGCGCTCGGGTGCTCTCAGCGTCACCGCCCGGGCGGAGAGACCTAGCCGAATCATCACTTGTTTTAAGATTTTCTTTTATTTCTTCCCTAAGTCTATACCTGTCTAGACACATGCTTAAAAACATCTATTTTGTTAGCATATGTTGTATTAAAAATAGAGATCCTGCTACTCTCTACTTCTGACTTATGAAGTAAATGGCTCAATAACTTTGTGATTTAAATTTCATCATTCCTAGACTTGCACAATAGTCTCGTTTTTTAAAAAGTCACAATTTGCCCTGGTCCGTGTTTCTCAGTGGTTAGAGCGTTAGCCCACGTGCACCAGGGGTTTGATTCTTGGTCAAGGGAACGTACCTGGGTTGCAGGTTTGTCCCTGGCCCCATCGGGGGTGTATGCAGGAGGCAACCAATCCATGTGTCTCTCTCACATTGATCTTTCTCTCTCTCCTCCCCTCCCTCTCTCCCTCCCTCCCTCCCTCCCTCCCTTCCATCCTCAGGATTGAGCCTACAGCCCTCCATCACCAACTCTATCCCTGCTGAAACGTAACTTACTCAGGAGAACCGACAGTATATGAAGCGCCCATGTAGCTTCAAAGCACAGCCTGACTTAAAATCTACTGTGCTAAACAATGTTGTTAACTTATTAATGAACATGTTTTGAGGGAAAATATAAAAGTAGAAACATCTATCCCGTTATGCAGGTTATTTATGAGCCAACTGCTTCATCCAGCGAACACTCATCGCACACGGCCCATGTCCAGCTGCTGCCCTGGGCACTGGGGCTACGGGAGCGAACAGAGAGGCTGGGCCTGCCCTCGGGGGTGCAGTCTGGTGGGGCGGACAGATCTCAGCAGGTGAACTCGGCCACGGGCCGGGCGCTCCTGCCAGCTCCCGGGGGAGCAGGTGCACTGGGACAGCGGCAGTGGCTGCTGCCTTACAGGGGGTGGCACAGGCTTTGGCGAGGTGACAGTTGAGCAGAAACCTTAAGTAAAGGGAGAAGCAAGCCATGCATACAGACAATTACAAAACAATAAAACAGAGAGGGAGGGACAGCAGCTGGCCGTAAACTGCTGAATTATTTAAAAAGCTACTATTTGATCTGCAGGGATCACCTTCCTGTCAGGTAACGACAGGACACGAAGGCAGAGAGGGCTGTGGGTGTGTTCCGGGAACCCGGGTGGATCTTTAGAATTTCTGTTTTAACCCAGTGATTTAGATAAGTGACACAGCACTCCAAGCGACTCGTAAGAGTAAAGATAAAGGCCTAATGAAGGACTTAGGCCTACTTCCCACAATTCTTGGGAATAGTCTCCAATAGATAAAAAGTTCAGAGTCACCTCAATTGCCTTCTATAAAAGGAGTGGCAGTGACTGAATACAGACTTTGGGTTCAGTCAGATCCGGGGGGAAACCCCGTCCCAGCCTCTTGCTCCCGTGTGACCTTGGGCAAGTCACTCGGTCTCTCTGAGATGGTCTCCTCAGACAGGAAGTGACCACACGTCCTAAGATAAGACAGCTGTGAAGGCCAGGGTCATACACAGAGGGCACGGGGTTGGAACACAGGCTCACAACAACAGCCATTATGGATAAAAGGTCCACAGAGCAACATGCAGCATAAGAGACCTACAACTGCTGACATTCTGATTGATTTCAATATCTTGGAAAAAGGTTCAAGAATAATTTAAATACAGGAGTTGATTTTATTACCGTCAAGTTCACAAAAGTGATCCTGTGAGTCATCGTATCTCGCCCAGTCAATGAAAGCCTCTTTGCTCTGATTGCTACGGGAAGGAGGGATAAAAGAGAAAAGGATTAAACTTGGAGTTGAAAATTACAACACTGTTTTCTAGTGTAATTAAAAACAGATAACCTGAGGCCACTGCTCTATTAGTTAGATGGTGTCACAAATTCAGTTAGTGGTCACATGCAGGATGATGGGAGTTACATGAAAAACAGATATCAATATGAACTTCCACAGATATTAACTGCTAGTGTGCATCAAAAAAACATGCCCACGGAAGCTCATGGTAGCAGTTTATCTAAGTAAAAAATGTGAAAAAAGCCCTAACTGGTTTGCCTCAGTGGATAGAGCGTCGGCCTGCGGACTCAAGGGTCCCAGGTTCGATTCCGGTCAAGGGTATGTACCTTGGTTGTGGGCACATCCCCAGTAGGGGGTGTGCAGGAGGCAGCTGATGGATGTTTCTCTCTCATCGATGTTTCTAACTCTCTATTCCTCTCCCTTCCTCTCTGTAAAAAATCAATAAAATATATATATTTTTTTAAAAATGTGAAACAATCTAAATGCCCATCAGGAGGGGGATAAGGAAGTAAAATGAGGTATATTTATATCATGAAAACTATTCATCAGTCAAAAAAATGAGATAAATCTCCATGTTTAACATGGATAGATCTAGAAAGCAAAATGTGTGGTGTGAAAAGAAAACTTGCAGAATGTGAAATATAATATCGTGTCATTTACAAAAAGGAAAAATAAAATCGTCTGCACAGAACCATACATATATGTGATAAAAACATGGCCTGGGTGGACACCAAATGCATGACGTAGTTACCGCTAAGAAAGAAGGAAAGAAAGCAGGATTGTGGGCTAGCAATGGGGGATTTTAATATCTTGGCTATTTCTCTTTTCTTAAAAATAGTTGCAAGAGGTAGAAAATGTTAATATTTATTCATTTGGAGTGGAGGATATATAGGTATTTATTATATTATCCTTTCTACTTTTCTATATTAAAGTTTCTCTTTAAATAAATACTATAAATGAAATTGCTAACTTTATTGTAAACAATTATAATATTAACTCTAAACAAACAGGAAAATTAAAAAGAATTTCTGTAACATTCCCTTCCCCACTCACTACATATGTTCAGTCACTTTACATTGCATAACCTGAGACTATGTACAAATTATTTATGTTGGCCCTCAAAAAGCAGGTTTATACTTACAGCAAATACGGAAAACGCAACAGAAAAAACATCTATGGAATTTAATGGTTAATAGTAACCTTTATCATTCAAAATGTAATAGATAAATGGAGGTGCTATTTACAGAAGACTGAGAGGTTCCAGTTCTTTTCCCATAATAATCAGGAAGAACAGACTCATCACGCCACTAGCAATCTTAGATTTTTACTTTGAAGGGGGGGACTATTGATGATTTAGAGATTTCAGGGCAAATCAGCCAAGAAGAGGAAGCAAAGCCTGTAATGGAATTTAGGATAAAGAATACCTTCTTCCTTTAAAAGTTAGTTGAGTCCTGGCCGGTTTGGCTCAGTGGACAGAGTGTTGGCCCGAGGACTGAAGGGTCCCGGGTTCAATTCCAGTCAAGGGCACCAACCTCGATTGCAGGTTCCCTGGCCCTGGTTGGGGTGTGTGCAGGAGGCAACCAATCAGATGTGTCTCTCTCACATCGATGTTTCTCTCTGTCTCTCCCTCTCCCTTCCACTCTCTCTAAAAATCAATGGAAAAGCATCCTCTGGGTGAGGATTAACAAAAATAAAATAATTAGTTGAGACGTTGATGTTTTTACATCACAAGAAAAACAGGAGATTGTTGATATAAACATAATAATTTTAATACTAAAACAAAACTTACCTCAATGTGCTGTTAATTGCTCCCAGTTTGCTAGCTTGCTCACAGTCTTCAAATTCTTTGGTATTGTTGGCCACTTTCAAGTACTGAAAGGAAGTTCACCATAAACAAGTTTTAGTGAAAAATCATTCCCTTCCTCTTTCTTTATTTCTGGCTCAGCTGGCAGAACAGTCAGTCTCCCAATGACGAGATAACACTAACTATAGCTACATCCTATTATTCAAAGAAGTAAGAAACACAAATGAAAACGAGTCACAGATTTCTACCTAATTAGTAAGCAAAGACATGGAAAACAGTCAGCAAGCTGGCGAGGATGTCACTGAGAAGCCCTCGGGGGAACGTGTCCGACCACACAGATCAGGAGCTGCAGGACAGCATGACCCTGGACCAGGAGTCCCTCCGCGGACACCCATCCAGAGCAACAGTGACAAACAGAAACAAGAACGATGCACAGCCACTTTCCGAGTTATCGGCACCATCTTGGGTGCTGAGATAGCAACCCCAGGGCCGCAGTCTTATTTCTACTACAGATCCAGGAAAACCTACGCGGTACACAATGAGACAGAAGACAGAGATGCGAGGGCATCGCATCGCTGTGTGTAACAGCAAAAAACAAAGACAGTTGAAATGACCATCAATACAGAACATGAGACAGTCATACAACTGAATATCATGCAGCTGTTAAAAGTGAACTAAGACGACATATCAACAGAGACAACATTTAAAAAAGCATAATGCTCAGTAAAAACACAGACTGAAGCCCTAGCCGGTCTGGCTCAGTGGATAAAGCCTTGGCCCGAGGACTGACGGATCCCTGGGTTCAATTCCGGTCAAGGGCACGTACCTCGGCTACCTGGCCCTGGTTGGGGCACGTGCAGGAGGCAACAAATCAATGTGTCTCCCTCACATCGATGTTTCTCTCTGTCTCTGTCCCTCCCTTCCACTCTCTCTAAAAATCAATGGGAAAATATCCTTGGGTGAGGATTAACAAAACACACACACAAAGACAAATATACTGAAACAATGTATTAACCTGAAGAAATATAAAAATATGGTATTTAAATCTTTTAAGATGTCATAAAAAAGCTCGATACATGCTGTGGACACATGTACAATAAAGTATGAAAATAAAAAGTATCACAGAAGGATACAAATCAACTTCAGAAAAGTGTCCAGCTCTGGGGAGGGAGGACCCGGAATGGGGGTGGGAAGGAGTCCAGAAGGACTGTCTTTATACTGTTTGTTTGTTTACTTGAAATCTGAAACAAAAATAATAAATAAAAGAGTGTGAACGTGAACAAAAGACCTGGTGAGGGAGCGAGCCGGAAGAAAGTGGAGAAATGACGCATCACAAGGAAGCAGAGGGGAGGGCCTGAGGACCTTCACGTGTCCGTGCCATCGTGGAAAACGACAGGTGTACTGTGTCTAGACACATGTGAGTGACACGGTAAATCAGGCATGCTCAGAAGAGGAAAGGGTGATCTTTAATAAAGAGGCATTTTAATAAAGAAGTATCCATTCCCTGCCCAGCCAGCATGGCACAGTGGTTGACCTATGAACCGGGAGGTCATGGTTTGATTCCTGGTCAGGGCACATGCGCAGGTTGTGGGCTCCATCCCCAGTATGGGATGTGCAGAAGGCAGCCAATCCATGAGTCTCTCTCATCATTGATGTTTCTCTCTCTCTCTCTCTCCCTCTCCCTTCCTCTCTGAAATCAATATACATCGTGCGCTCTTCTGCACCCCGCCAGCAGTAAGCATGTTGCCCCACGTAAAGAAGAAATAGGCAGCGAAGAAGATGACTCACCTTGTTCGAAATCCCAGCTTTAATTCCGACGGGAATTTTACTCTTAAAAGAACAACAACAAAAATTTTAAAATTTCATTTTTTTGAGATTTCTTCACAAACTAGTAATGCTACTGCTCTACTAGAAGGGCTATTTTATTCCATAGGAGAAAATGCACTGTCATTCAAATGCTGTAACTATACTACCTCTTTGAGGTGAAAGGTGAGGAGTTACACCAATGTAGACTATAAGTTATAGGATAGAAAACTGAATGACACACACAAAATCCGAGCAGCAAAACAACTCTAACGTACACTCTCAATGCAGTATTTAATAGTTTGTACAATTTTTAGGTTTATAAAATGACTAGATCTCTTTTTCCATAAACGGTCTTACCCCAAAAACAGAAGTTTTAAAAATTTCAAAGTTTTTGAAATAGTTATGCTCAATTTTTATTTCTGCTCTAAATTGACACTTACAGTTTAGGCAATTTTGGGTTAATGTAGATGGCAAGAGTAAGTTCTCTGGCCCATACGATTACCTAGAGTTTACCAATAGAAGAACTGCATGTAGGTGCAGCCTTTTTCTTACCAAGTCAATACTAACTTCCTAATTATGTTGTGGTTAGATAAGAGAATAATCTTGTTTTTAAGAAAATACATACTGAAATATTCAGGGATAAAGGATCATGTTTGTAACTTATACCTAAGTGGTTCAGAATATAATGATATTAATTAATATATACAGAGAGAGAATAATAAAGCAAATGTGACAAACATTAACATTTAGGGAATCTGAATAAGTAGTATATGGAAACTGTACTATTGCAACTTTTCCCTAGGCCTGAAATTATTACAAACTAAAAACTTTAAAAATACACTATATTCTTAAAGGAAAATGAAGATAATATATTTTTTAAATGTTTCCCATTAGGAAGGACATCTGTTCGGATAGTTTTGTCATACTTTTAAGGACAAGAAACTACACTAACTGGTTAGGTAAGAAAAGCAAAAAGTCAAATGAAAATATGGCTCATAACAAATTACTAAGGAAAAAGAATATAGCCAATTATGCTAGATGTCAGAAAACAAAATCTAAAATGTAACATTTCATTACAAATAAGGGTAACCTTTTTTTTCTATTGTAAGAAGACCAGTTGGAGACCTAATGCCAAGCCTGAAATTTCCCTATTTTATGCGCTTTAATTCCCACTCTAAACTTGAGATTTAAGGTCCAGTAGCATTTTCTTTGCCTCTGAAACAAGAAGCAGACTCAAGAGAGCATGGAGTGGGTCAGCCAGGTGTCGGCCCCGTCCCCGCAGCCGCTGGCTCTGCACGAGTTACCTCTGGACACGGCTCCACGTGGCAGTCCTTTATGGAGCAATGGCCGTCTTCCGCCCAGAACGGGCACGGCCGCTTCAGGTTGACCTGGAGAGAAAGAACGCGTCCCCGTGAGCACGCGCGGTGCCGGCTCTGCAGGGCTGTCCTCGGGGTCCCCGTGCTGGGGCGGGGGACAGGGTGAGGGAGGAGCCTCCTGTCCCAAGGCGCCTGCGTGGCTCAGAACTTAAACGCCTGCCGTGCTCCAGGCTCCCAGATGTAATGTTCATTTTTAAAAGTAAACGATGCTCGCCTACCCGGTGTGGCTCAGCGGATAGAGCGTCGGCCTGAGGACCGAAGGGTCCCGGGTTCGATTCTGGTCAAGGGCACGTACCTCAGTGGCAGGCTCCTCCCTGGCCCGGGCCCTGGTCAAGACTGGTGCAGAAGGCAACCAGTCGATGTGTTTCCCTCACATCAATGTTTCTCTCTGTCTTTCCCTCTCTCTTCAACTCTCTCTAAAAATCAATGGAAAAATATCCTCAGGTGAGGATTAAAACGTAAAAATAAATGAATGAATGAATAAATGAATGAATGATGCGCTTTGTCCTCTGACACTTCAGAAAAGGAATGAAACCGAGCGCACGGCGCATCTGGAGAAGCGGAAAGCATTTTCGGGCTCCACACCCCAACTTCTCCCAGGGCCTCCCAAGCCCCCTCACCTAACAGGTGCGTCTGAGCACCCACGACCTGTCAGCGCTGGGTGGGCTCTCAGGGAAGATGAAGGTAAAGCACCCCCCCCCAACTCACCATCTACCGGGAGGAACAGAAATTATACTCAGGGTGTCCCCCCCCAAAAAAGATGTCCACACACTGTAACCGCTGAGAGCTCACTTTTGAACATGAGATGCATGTTAATATCACTGCCTTTGTAATTACTCAGAGTGTGTAGACATTTTGGGGGACAGCCCATATTTGTGTTTCTTTAATAACGAAGTGTGGTGAGTGCTACCGGGGAGAATCCAGGCCGGCCGGCCCGCCCGCCTTCCTTTCTGCTTAGTCTTTGTCTTTCTCTCTTTCTGTCTTTATTTTTCTTCTCTTTCTCTCTTTCTTATTGTTCCCAGCATTACAGATGTCCCCCAGTTTCCCCCATCCCTTAGCCCCCCTCCTCCCAGCCGCTGCCCCAACCCAGGCCAAAACTTAAGACGCGATTCCTTGCGTCCTGCCTTATTGCTGCGGCCTTTAACCTGCTCTGGCTGCTCTGTCAGGGCCTGGAGGTGACCACGGTTAGAGCTAAGAACCGACCCTGCAGGGTGACTGGGGGTGGCGCTGGCCTGCACCCCCAGCCTGGCCGGGGCTCCCAGGTGAACGGCTAATGTGGAATCTGACATGGGGAGCAACCTGGCACAGGACACTGCCCTCAGCCCGCTCGGCTCAGCGCCTGGGCAGGTGTGTGGGTGGCAGAACCTAAGGTCCGAGGCCCTTTCAGCTTCTGTGAAGGAAGAGTCTCTGCCTCAAAAGCGAAAGTGAAAGATGAAGAATTCTCCAAGCAGAGGAAGAGGGTGCAGATGCTTAGAGTTTAAAAAGGCGAACAGGTTTCAGCCCTGGCCAGGGCGGCTCAACGGGCATCGTCCCCTGCACCGAAAGGTGGCCGGTTTGATTCCAGGTCAGAGCACATGCTCAGGTTGCGACTCGATTCCCGCTTGGGGGTGTGCAGGAGGCAGCCGATTGATGCTTCTCTCTCTACCCCCGTCTTTAAAAAATCTATAAAATTCAAAATATGTAAATGATGTTTGAACCTTAAAAAACCTGTGCTAGTAACATAAAAAGATAATTTGTACATTCAAATTAGCCAATATTTGCTCATTAAGATACATTAAAAAAAAAAGGCTAACAGGTCTTCAGTGTAATACTTAATACATTCCAGTGATAAAAGATACACATAAGGTGCTGAGGAGAGTCAAACCTGAGTCTTTAAATGGGTGATAAGAGTCACACCTGTAGACAGTGATATGAAAACCTTTGGAAATAACAGAATGAAAAATTATACCCATACCTTGTAATAACGGAAGTAGTCTCGCTCTTGCAACTTTTTTATTTTGGGGAAGATTTTGTAGGTGTTAAAGTTATCGATGCTCTCATTTCTCTCTCATTGATGTTTCTAACTCTCTATCCCTCTCCCTTCCTCTCTGTAAAAAATCAATAAAAATATACTTTAAAAAAAAGATACATAACAAAGTAGCCCCTTTTTACTATGGTCAGTTCAATAAAAAACAACGGAAGGATTAGATAGACCCATTCTGAAGAGCTACACATTTTTATTTAGCAGTAAAAAAGAAAGACATTGCATGCTCTTTCCAGGCCTAAACATAGATTTAATCCAGTGTTTCCTAACACCAACCAGCTCTCCAGCACTAACTGGGCCCAGTTCTGCTCTGGTATTACCTGGATGGAGTTGGAGCAGAGCCCGCAGATTAAGGGCTCAGCCTCACAGGGCTTCCCTGGCCACACAGGCCAGCCCCAGACCCCGGGCCCCTGCACTTGAGGGCTACTCGCCGGGGTTTCCCAGGACCCCCTTCTCAGGTGGGGTAATTGGCTAGAACGCCCTGCAGAACTCAGGAAAACACTCCACTCATGTTTACTGGGTTCTCGTAACGGTGACAGCTCGGGAACAGCCAGATGGGAGAGGTTCGCAGGGCACGGCACTGGGAGGGGCGAGGCGGACCTTCCTCGCCTCCGAGCCACCCGACGGACCACCTCGTCTCTGTTCTCGCCCACCTGGGAGCCCACCGCGCACCCCGTAGCTTTCAGAGCTTCTCTGGAGCCCCCTCCTGGAGGTCCAGGCCACCCTGCGCCCACCTAGGGGCTCCCCACCTAAGTCGCAACATCAGTGTTAACGGGCTGAAAGGCACTCCGCACACTCAGGAGGTCCCGAGGATGTCAGGGGCACGGAGCTAGGACAGGTAGGTGACAGGGACCTGATACAGTGCTGCTTACACCCGAGCGAGGCAGGAAGGCCCTGGGGGGTTCACGCAGTGAGAGGGACATGAAGTCCACAGCCAGGTGGAGGGTGTGGCTTGCATTCTGTATCATCAGAGAAGGGAGCCGTTGAGTAAGGGGACAAGTCTGACAAGGTGACACCTTAGCAGAAACCTAAGGGAGCAAGGGAACCACAGGAAGACCCCAGGAGAGGGTGTGGGGCATCGAGGCTCGAGGCAAGCACGCACTTGCCACGTCTGAGGAACAGCGAGAGGTGAGGTGGCTGCAGCAGGCATAGCGGGGAGCAGACTGGGACGAGGGGGTTCGAGGGGCAAGATCGGGAAGCTGGTTCCTGGTGCACCGAGTTTGAGATGCCTCGGCGGCATCCATCCGAGTGGAGACAGTGAAGCGTGGCTGGATATTCGGACCCGGAGCAGAGACTCCTGGTCTGGAGACGCGGAGAGTGGATTGTGTAGGTGGAATTCAAAACCAAAAGGTCACATGAGATGTACTCAATATATTCATCTCAATGATTTCATGTGAATAGAATATTTTTCTCAAAAAAAAATCCACGTTTTCCTTTATGCTGTACTGTCTTGCTTCCGATTTAGTATATGAAAGAACTAAGTTTCCCCATTTCCTGTTCCCGGGGCTCCCTGCGCTTCACTTTTATACGACAAAGGAGCGAGCACCCTGGGATGCACTGTGCGGATCACAAAGAGTCCCACTGCCCCGCCAGGTTGAGCGTCGACCTATGAACCAGGAAGTCACGGTTCGATTCCCAGTCAGGGCACATGCCCAGGTTTCGGGCTTGCTCCCCAGTGGGGGGCGTGCAAGAGGCAGCCAATCCGTGATTCTCTCTCACCATTGATGTTTTTATCTCTCTCTCCCTCTCGCTTCCTCTCTCTGAAATCAATAAAAATATATTAAAGGAAAAAAAAAAAAGAAAGAAAGAGAGGGGCCCACTGGGCCTCCGCTCTGCCTTCCTCACTGACCGAGGTGTGGTATTAGTCACGTGGGCTCTCTGAACTTCAGTGACGGGAAGAGCCTCATTTCTGAGACACAGCCAGTAAAACGAGAGCACGGACACTGGAACCTGTTACAGACTAAAGTACTATCTGAAGCACAAACACTATCAGAAAGTACCACCGGAAACAAAAAACAAACGTATTCACTTCTGAGGCTCGTCTGGCACAATGCCACTCTGCATATGCACAAATCCTTCATTTCACCGAGTGAATGAAATGAATTGAAAATCACCCACGTTCATTTGGACATAATAAAGGTGAAAGGATAGATGCAATTATGAAGCAGTAATACACATAATTAGTAGTAGGTGAAGAAACAGAGAGAGAGAGAGAGAGAAAGAGAAAGAGAAAATCTCATGCTAGAAAGATATCTAAATGTAAATTCCACTCAAAAACAAGCATCCAGCCTGGCCGGTGTGGCTCAGTGGCTTGAGTGTCAACCTATGACCCAGGAGGTCAGAGTTCGATTCCTGGTCAGGGCACAAGCCTGGGTTGTGGGCTCCATCCCCAGTATGGGGTGTGCAGGAGGCTGCTGATCAATGATTCTCTCTCATCATTGAGGTTTCTCTCTCTCTCTCCCTTCCTCTCTGAAATCAATAAAAAATATTTTTTTAAAAAAGATTCAAACATGGACACAAGTAGACTATCCAGGCATTCTGGGATTTAGTGCAGAGAGCACCGTAAGGCCATGAAAAAAGTGTCTAAATAGACACTGAATAGAGTCAGAAAAAATACGTGTGCACGGTTATACTCATCATTCCCTCTACTCTTTCTTAGCAAGGAGCATAAATGGCTTCAAAACACATCTCCCCTGGTGATCGGGCCACCGGAGACACCTCCTTCCTCCTCCCGGCAGTTCTGCCTCTTGGCGGCAGGTGCAAACAGCAGCACCTGGCAGCCGTGCAGCCCAATTCCACCGTGAAACCCGAAGCAAACACGCCTCTGGAGGGCAAAGATCTGGGCACTCACTACCCCTCCGATTCCCAGCAGACTGAACACTGTGCAACACACGCCTCGCTCCCACCGAGACCCACTGGCAGCCGTCCCGGCCCCTAACCCCTG